ACAGGACACGCCAAAGCCACCTTTTTGCTTTCGGAGAAAGGGGACAGGTCGCCTCGGAGGAGCCGTAGCCGAGGGCTGGCGCCAGGACCAAGCGCAGCGCGAGACGAGCGCAAGACGATCCGGGCGCGGATGCTGAGCGCGCAGGGAGCTCGAGGCACAGCAGACCTCGGAGGACCGCGAGCCGCCCGCCCGCGCGCTGTCCCCCTGCACGGGAGCGGCGGCCGGGCCGCGCGCAGTTTCGGCGAAGCTCGCAGGCGGCAGGAAGCGCGAGCCATGACGGCGTTTCGCAATAGCGGGGCTCCCTGAAAACAAGACAAGCCCTTCCTCCTCGGAGAAGTCAGGCCGGAGGAGAGCCCGCTCGCTCCGCAGGCACTGAAGAGACGGGAGCCGGTCCAGCCGGGTGCGCGGCGGGCAGGGGGTCCGGTCCGGCTCGGCTCGGTTCGGCTCGGCTCGGCTCGGCTGGGGACCGCAGTGCCGGACGGGGCAGCGGCAGAGGGGGCTGCGCGGCGGGTTATTTATAGTCCTGCACCGCCTGCCCTTCCGTGCAGCGGGGAGCTGCAAGCAGAGCAGCAAACGCGTCCTGCTTTCTGCCTGTAAACAGCGCGGGGTCAGGCTTCAGCGCGCTGATTGTTTATTTGCTTGCTTGTTTGCGATCGGTCTTTGTTGCGGGAAGGGGAAGCTACACGGACGCGAACATTTATTTTCCGGGACTGTGCTTCTCTTTTCTAAAAAAAACGGTTTTTTTTGTCGCGCAAGAGGACAGACAGGAGGAGGGTCGTGTCTTGCGGACTGCCGCCCTGCAAGGTCGCTCTCTGGCGGGCGGGACCGAACCGAACCCAATCCAATCCAACCCAACCCCCCTGGTCGCGCGACTCTTGACAGCTAGCGCTGAGGAAGCGGCTCGAGGAGGTTCGTCTGCCGGCCTGGGGGGAGGGCACGCGCAGTCTCGAGCTGCAGCACCGACTCCTTTCGGGGAGACCGAGCCTCGGCGCGCGCACCTGGACGCCCCTGCACGGGCCGGGACCCGCAGCGGGTTCGGTCCGGAGACCCGGCTCGTGAAGGAGGACCGGTCGCGATGCGTGGGCTCGAGACGGACGGCGCGGTTTAAAAGCTAACGGCAGAACGGCACCGTCGCTCGAGGGCTCTAACGGATCCACCGGTCCGGACGCTGAGCCCCCGACCCGTCGTGACTGATCGCTCTTGGACCACCGGACCTGCGCTTTTCTGTGTCCTCGGTGGCGGCGTCGCGCACGAGGAAGTGAAAATGGCGGACCTGGAGGCCGTGCTCGCCGATGTCAGCTATCTGATGGCGATGGAGAAGAGCAAGTCCACTCCCGCCGCCCGGGCCAGCAAGAAGATCATCCTACCCGAGCCCAGGTACCGCACCGCTGCGCACAGCGCCCTGCCTGCGCCCGCTGTCAGAGGGAGGATGGAGAGGA